ATTGCGCATGTGTGTGTGTGCTCATGTGTGTTTGCGTGCGCGTCTGCATGTTTGTGTGTTTCAGTGGCTCCAAATTCGTGGGGGATGTCTACTTTTTATAGGGCTTGTGAAAAGCATGATGTAGTAGAATTGCGCCAACCAGGGGGTCAGAATTCTATGATGTTTGCGTATCTCTATAGCAACCAGGCCCTCTGCGGTGAAATCAGAAAAAAAAAATTTATGAGGGCGAAATGGAGAAGGGGGGAAAAAGAGGGAGAAGGATTTTGAAGTTCATCCAGAGTTTGAACGTATGTGGAGCGGGGGCTGAACTTGAGTCTGTGTCATCAGTCGTGAATCAGCTTTGTTATCCCGGTTCAAAGAAATATAATGTGTAGTCGTGGTCAAATTAAATATTCATCACAGGAGGGTAGGGATTTTTAACAGCTTCTCACCAAAACAGATCAATGAATTCATTTTACATCTTTCATTTCTTTTGGCAGACTTCATTTTGAAGTCAAAATAAGTCAATAGGTTCTGATATTTTTGCTCAATCAGACCTATAAGCCTGAAATGTTGCAAAAGACGAAGGAAATTCATCACATATGTGATAAACTTATCATTAAGGATGGAGGTCCACCCTAAGGACAGACCCCTGTGATGGGACTCACATCATGTCCTTTTACACTTAGAGTGTTTTCTGTTTATGCTTTGGGAAGGCAATGAAATCACACTACTGTGGCCCGGAGAGCTCAACACACTATAACACATGCAAACAGACACAACACATGCAACTGGAGATAACATCTTTATGTGTTTGACAACGCATACAAGCACTTACACTACACTAACAAATACTTAAAACACAACCAAACACTACCAAGTACTCGCAATACAACCAATTACTATCAGCCAAATACTCTCAGCACAACAGAAGTGTTCCCAGGGGAAACAAAAAAGTGATGGATACTTCACTAGTTTTGTGAGAATTGTGTTGTGTTTTGAATATTTGGTTGTGCTGTGGGTATTTAGGTATGTTGTGAGTACTCGGTTGTGAATATTTGATTGTATTGTGAGTATTTGGTTGTGTTACGTATTTGGGTATGTTGCGAGTACTCTGTTGTGTTGTTACTGTTAGGGTATGTTGTGAGCTTTTGGTTGTGTTGTGGGTATTTGCAGCGCATGTGTTGCGAAATTGATGAAGATATTTTTGCCATTTGCATGTGTAGGTTTTTTCTTAAATTGTATTGATTTGAGCGCTCCGGGCCACCGTGCACTTGCTTCAGGGATGCTGTTCTGAAGCTCACCCTGTGGTCTGATCTCCATGTGTAGTGGGTCAAGTAAAATGATTATTTTCCTCTTGGAGATCAAAAAACAATCTTAAATATTCTTTCTTGTGCACATCTGCTTTTCTATGTCTCATCAGTCCCCTAATTTATTTTGATGTCCATTCAGCTTCCTCTTTCAACCCTCTGCATTTCCACTGCCCTTTCTTAAAGTTTTCTTTTTTTCTTTTTTACAAGCCTGAAGCCCTCCATGTCCGAGCTCCACCCGAGCCTTTACTCTGCATATCCAGCTGCTTTAGCATTAGAGGAAAGGCCAGCAGAGACGCAGCAAATGTCTCAACATCTGTGTGTTGGTTTTAGCTCAACAAGTATTTCCACATGTTTCTCTTCTTTTTTTTTCCCTGTCCGATACAAGACTGATCACAACAGCTGGTCTGTTTCCTTGTTAAAGCTGCAGTCTGTGGTTACATAGTGGATTAGCACATTTAACGTTCTGGATAAAGATGGCTAACACTAACTCACAGGGTACATTGGTGTAAAAAATTACAACACAATGAGTTCATACACTAAAAAGAACTTACTCTCTCGGGAGAATGTGGCTTTATGGTTGTAACAGGTTGGTAAGATAACCATGAGTATCACCCACCGAGCAAAAGACATAGTCGTGCTTAGATTTTCCTTTCAACACGCAGCTATCCACGGTTGTCATTGTGGCTTGTAAAACACGAGAACCAGTGGTGTCAAAATTATTGTGGTTGAAGGCCACACAGCACAGACCACTCTCTTCTGAAGTCCTTATTTGTCAACCTATTACTCCAACTGTTACCACAGCCAACCATATGTGTGTTGGCAATGTGGCAACTGTCAGGACAAGTGATTTATACAGCCAGGGTGGGAAGATTGAGTTCTTTGGTCTTTAATCTTTGGTCGAGGCATCATCTCTCTTTGGTGAGAGTTATTTCCATCCGTCTTTGCTGCAAATACACAACACGCCGTGCATATCTTTGAATAGCAAATCACACAGAAACTTGTGCACGAAAGTTGATTAGACAAAGGCAGAGAAAAAATAGTTTCTCATTGTATTCAAATCAATAATATGTTACTTGTTTTTTCTTACCAAAGAGCAGCCGGAGGTGTTGAATCGAATCAATTATAATGACTGCTTTTGGATTTCCAAAGGTCTCATTATCCCAATTTAAAAAAAGAAAAAAATGTCTTCAGTCATCTGTCGGCTTGAAGAGACAGACACATTTAACCACGCACTGTCTAAATACTTAAGTTCGGTATTTTGGTTCTACACTAAAACACCCGGCACCATCCGCAACCAAGCTTCACTCCCACCTTACCAGCTGTGCATTTCTCTTTGTTCATGCCTCCATCTTTGTCTAACCGCTGTCGATCATTCACCCGCTTCTCAGCCAAACTGCCCTTCTGTTGTGCACTTCTCTCGTATCTGCTCACGTTCAGTCCTACACACATATGCATACATCCATGTGTGTACCCACACACGACGGCATGCACAGACACACACACACACACACACACACACACACACACTTGCTCTGGTCGTCGTTCGCAGTGTTCCTCTTCTGTGTCTTTGCCTCCATTTATCTGCATATCCTTTGTTATTTCTCCAAAGTACTTTGTTTTAAAAGTGGCATGTCAAAATGCTTTAAACAAAGATAGACTTAAACAACCTGTCAGTGATGGCAGGTTGGCAAACACTATACTTTGGCACAAGTTGCTGAGCGTTAGTCACAGTTTTAATATACCAGCAATTTCCACCATGTAAAGGACACCTACGTTTGACTTCAAACCTAAGAATTATCTGAAGGGCCGTATTTGATAGGAGCAAGTAGAGACTCATTTATCCACTTGGAAAGTACAAAAATGTTTCGTCCCTCGGCTTGTGTGAAGTTTTTTGAGCGGATTGAAGTCATGCTCAGCGTTTTCCACGGGCAGTCAGTCTACTGTCTCCTGTTTCCTGGCCTCTGTTAGCAGCCCCTATGCTCAGGGACTGGCCCGTTTGGCTAGCACCAGAAAACAAGACCTTGACTGACACCTCCAGTTTTAAAAGGTTGACTTTGCTACTCCCACGGGCCCAGTTCTGCCAGAGGAAAGCTTTTCAACCAAGCGTGGATGAGGAAGGGAGTACAGCAAGGGGTCTGTATCTCTCTCTGTATGCCATTGTATGATTTTTTTGTGAGCGGGGGAATTTGTCTGCGCATACATGTGCAGTGTCTGTCTCCTTTTGTTGTCTGCGTCTACAGATGTGCACTTTATTTTTTCTTTATGCTTGTGGCCGTACCTCCCCTCTCATTCTGCTTCATCCTCCACCATGGTGAAGACACGCCGGTGGAAGCCTTATCAGCTGAATGATGTATGAGTCCTTAGTGCCTTAATAGATTCCATTTATCTCTATACACTCCCACTTTAATTTGGCCGGGCAAGGGAGGATGTATTCAAATGCCCACTGTCATTATGATGTACAGCCCGCCAGCCAGAGCTGGCCTCTGTGATTGCTACAGCCTGAGTGTCAGAAACAGATTCCCACTGAACCCCCGGCTTAAACCCTCTATGCCAGCCCAAAAAATAGCCTTATACTCGTACCACATTTTGTTTTATTACACTTGAGCTTATTGCACGAGGCGAATAGCGTTCTTAAATACAAGTACCAACTAATGCCTCATATTCTGGTCCCTGCCTTAGCATAAACATTACCTAGATATCCCAACAAATTACTAGTCTTACTCTCAGGCACTGAGCCATAAACACCACCACTATTTTAAGCCCACCAGAAGTCCAGTAGTCCAGGACACTGCCAAGATTTCCCTCCCTCCAGATGACACTTAAGATGAAGCTCTAATATAGTTAAAAGTAGCATTTGGTCTGTGCAGCTGTAGCACAGAGTGTCAATGACCACACACCCACTACCCACACACTGCGATTTTACAGCACTGTGGCCATCCCCAGTCCACCAGTCTCTCTCCCAGTGCCACTAAATCTGTACAGTAAGTGATTGTTAACCTATTGTAGCGAGTCCTGTTCTCTTTTCTTCGCGTTTTATCTTAAAGCGAAGCAGAGTGAGACGACTCCTTCCCGGCGCCTGGCTGTGCTACTCCTTGGGGTAGGTCCAGCGGTGTGGGAAGTCTATTGTACTCCAGTAACAAGTCCTTTGTGTGACATTTTCCTTGGCGTTGACATTCAGAGGGGAATAGGAAGACAGGCCTGGTGATGCCATATTCTCTGTGACATGTGAAGGGAAAGGGTATTAAGAATGGGGACCGAGGTATTTGAACGTGCGCAGGGAAGGACATTTGTACAGGACGTGACAAGGACACGCTATGGAGGAGCAGCTCTTTCATATTTCACTTTATAACATTATGCGGCACACCAGGTTGAATCTGTATCCGCCAGTTACAAAGCTGTCCACTGGGCCAGTCCTATCATGGTCCGAGGAGTAGGCTGACAGGGTGTATTATGCAGGGAATACAATTTTTACTAGGCAAGTATCTACTGACACAATGGAATATTTCATATTAAAATGGTTTTATTCTCATCTATGCCTTTGAAAAAGATGCTTTTTTATTTCTAAAGAGGTCATTATATCTCTTACAGCATAAGGTCTCTGTCGTTCAAATGTTGTGTGAAATTACCCGGACACTCCTCAACAGCGACTGTGTCATTAACATCCTGGGAGGGTGACTAACATGAATCTGATTTGCTTTTTCGTGGCAGATGAATCAGAGGGAAATGCAGGTGAAGAACAGAGTGTGTGCCGTGGCGCTGACCGACTCCGCTCACAACATCTGGCTTCAGGAAACCAGCAAAGGCACGCAGGATTGGATGCAGCAGGTGAATATAGCCACACACATGCTCAAATACACAGTCTGAAGGCAACAAATATGCTGCGAGAGGTACCGCGGTCAATTCCTTGGCTTCCATGTAAATTCACCCAGGTGAGCCAAGGTCGCTCGGGCTCATGCTCTTCTTTAATTTCCCACTGCACAACTCTGCTGACCTACACAGGTACCCCTGACCAACAGCAAGCCTTAGAAGTCATAGAGAACCATTGTTTGCATGTTTTCCCTCTATTCTTGACCCCCACTTTTTCTTCCTGGGTGCATGTCAATGAATAACTGAGATGGTAAACCCTCGCTGGTGCGCGTGCACGTGGCCCGCCATGCATATGTGTGTTAGCTTGCATGCATGTGTGCTCATGGGTAAGCCTGAGAGATAGGATGCACGTGCATTTGTGTTAGCTTCATTTTAGCACTTGCCCTTTCTGATGTGACCTCTGTGCCATACGCTGCACCTGGGCTCACTCAGTATGCACATACTGATGAGGACTAGCCAAGACCAGAGGTGCTTGAGAGCCAGAGATGCAAATGTCACACACACACACACACACACACACACACACACACACACACACACACCTTTATCTGTATTACTTTCTCTTTTATGTCCCTTGCCTTTTGTTTTTGCTATTTCTGGTTTCCTCCATTTTTTGTGTACGCCTTTGATTTGTGTGCTCAAGTGTGTGTCGCTCATCTGTGTATGTGTATGTATGTTGGTTTGAGTTGTGGGGATTCAAGGTTGCACTGGCCCCCTTCTCCTTGTCTGGCATCTCCTATTTTTGATTCATCTAAGGGATGTGTGCGACACAACATAATTGGAATGTTAAGTGATTTTCTATTTGTGATGATTACCCAGAACAATAAATCTGAAATAACCTTCTTTGTCCAGTCGAAGGCAGGGGACAGGCAAGGATTCGCACTCTGTCGTACTCATTAACCCACAGTCCTTTTTAGGCAGAGTTAAGAGACGAGCTTGCCTAATTAAACGACATTTTCTAGAGGGAAACAGTGGCACACCTATGTTGTGCCCTCTAAGTTTCATGTGCATGCATCCCTCTGTTTTTATTCCTCTATTCACCACACCACCAACTTGTTTTGGACTCACTACTTGTTGCTAATTCTAAAACAATTGTATATATGCTAGATGTTTTAATCTAGAATAACACTCAGAGAGTGCATACCTCTGCCAAGGCCCAATGTTCCCCCTATGACACCACATTTAATTTCACTAGATCTGCATTTTTATTTGGATTTGCACCTAATTATAAAAGGCTTCTATCTGTCTCCAAAAGATTCCTGATGTTTTAAATCAAGATCTGTGAATTATTCTCTTGGAAAACTGGGAAAATGTTGACATCTTCTCTCACAATGTTAAAGATAATTGAAAAAAAAATAACACTCAAGCCACCCCCTGATCAGGATTTGCAGAAAACATGTTATGGTTTATTCCTGACCCATGCTGCATCCTTCCAGTAAGTTTTGTGGTAATCTGTTCAGTAGATTTCGCGTAATCCTGCTAAATATCAGACAGTGAAGAAAACATAACCTCCTACATGGAAGTAATAAATACTGATTTGACCACTTTATTGTCGGCTCATGTTTGACTTTGATTTTCACACATGCCTCTGTTGGTGCGGTGTGAAACACAATCACACATGAGCACCCAAAGACCCAACATCAATTCCCATAGTGCTCCATTTTAAAGGATCTCTCTATCAATAACCCTTGAATATAAGCAACACTTGCAGACCAGCACACTGAGTGCAAACACTCACAAGCAGGCAGGGCTGGATGTTACAGCACATCACAGAGGGGAGCTAGCAGTGATACAGAGTAATGCTTTGGGTGGTGTATAAATGTGGGTGCCCGTACGAAGGTGTGCATGTGAGGTCGGGGCACTCCAGCAGTGAACTGCTCTGTTCTCATCGGATGGAGATAATTCCCTCCCTCCAGGGTTCAAGAAGTCACTAGATGGTGGGATGGAGAGATGAGAAGAGGAGAGTAAAAAAAGAGAAGATGGGATTTAGAGATCTGCACCTGCTGGGCCATGTTATACAGACCAAATGGGTCAGGTGAGGGCCAAGTGACGTCACTGCCCGGGGAGGGCAAGAAAGAGTGATGGTGAGAGAAAAGCAAAAGGAATGGCAGAGATGGAAAATACTCATCGAAATAAAGTATGAGAAATGTTCAATTATTTAAATCCTGTTGACTGCCACAGAGAAAGCACATAGCTACCCTATGGAGAGGAAAAACAAAAAGACAGGTAGGCTGTGAATGGAGTGAATACAGATGGAGGAGAGGAGATGAAGAGATGAATGTGGGGATAGATGAGTAGCATAGTGAGGAGAAGTGAGTGAGAGAGAGAAATGTGAATGATGGTGTACAGCTGGCAGCCTGTCACAGTCTCCAAGGTGTCTCCTGTCACCGTGCTGGCCTGCTGTCACACTCTAGTGGCCTGCCCAGAGCGCACACACACACACACACACACACACACACACACACACAGACGCACACACATGCACACTCACACATACAGAGTACACTATGGTCATGAATAAACCATCCTAATCCATAGAGATTATACAGCAACTGGATGAGTTGGGAGATACAGACACACAGAGACGGAGCAAGAACTGATTCTCGGAACTACTACTTTCTGAGAAGTTAGGTTGCAGACTGTCATGTGTGTTATGGTTCAGGGGACTTTTGTACTCTTGGCACGGTTTTATCATGGGACTTGGTCCTATGTGTTTCGAGAAAAAAAGAGGTGGCGAAACTGTTTTACCATTAAACTCAATCAGAAGCAACTGAAAATATATGTACTACACAGATTGTATTCAAAGCTAGGGTTGGAAGGCCTGGAAAAGCAGGATACACTTTGAAATATTCAACCGATAAATTGTTTGCTGCTCAAAGCTACACGCCCAAAAAAAGCATTAGCATACATTTCCTGTTTCCCGTTTGCTAACTTCTGACTCCAGTGATGCGCTGTGAGAGTTCAGGCAGGTTGGTTAGTGACAGACATGTACACCAGTCATTTCAATTGGTCCGTTGTGTTTATTATCGTCCTGGGACAGTGTTTCAGAATCAATTTACCAATCCCAACTTTAATTTGTGTATTCAAATATATAGTTTCCTACAAAAGTTATCACGAAATCATTCTGTAAGATATTTATTTATTCAGTCACCTTCTTTATGATTTCTACAATTGATAATCTGGGTCTTTTCATGGAACCTGAGTTATCTGTTATTTTAATGCAGGTTTAGGAGGATAGAGAGTACACATCCTCTTTTAAAGGCCTTGTGTGTGTATTCGTGCGACACTCACTGTGCAGTGGATGTGGACACCTTCAGGAGACCTATTTGGTCCTCGTGATGGCTCCATTAGATCCCCAACCATCAGCTGAGTGCAGCGTATTGTGTCCATTATTCTCCATGTGCGTGTGTTCATGTGTGCGTGTGTGTTTGTGTGAAAGAAGTGGTGAGGCTTCCACTCTGACTTGCAGAAGGCAGCAGGTGGTGGATCTCACACACACACACACATATACACATAATGGAGGAGGCTTAAAAGCATCCTTCACAGGTAGGGGGGGGGGGGTGTATCTGACACCTGCTTGTCATTTACACTCTCACACCATGCTGGCTGCCCATTGGTTACAATCAGCACTTAGCCTTAACCTCTAACTGACCTTTTTAAGGTCTTTAAGAACTCTGTACTTGATAAAGTTGATAACTGCTCTAAGTAAAATGAAAGGCATTGTGTCTGGCTTAAGTGTGTGCATGGGTATGCTAGTGAATGTGTGTGTGTGCATATTCAATGGAAATCCAAACACACATGCACAGAGCAGCAGAGGTGCGGGGTTAGCATCAGATGTGTTGACATGTTTGTCGCTGTCTGCCTTTAGTTCAGTGGAGCCATTGATCAGCGGACGAGCTGCTTGAAGTGATGGTGCTCTGCGTCAGAGGCAGCTGATGTGATGTGCCATCCTTTTGTCACATCGGCCTCCTCTAATCCCAGCCAGCAGGCCTCGCCTTTATGTGACTGCTGTTATGCCTGCGGTCGCTTGCAGAACTGGGGCTGTGCGCTCCGTGCATTTGTGTGTATGTGTGTGTGCACATGTACGTGGTTGCCTTGACAAATCTATTCAAGCCCCGGCCTCCCTGCCTCCATTGGTGGCGATGGAGGAGATGAAGGGTGAGGGAGGAGGGCTCTTTGAAAGACTCCACTCCTTCCCCTCTCTCCAGCCGCCTTCAACCCCCTGCGCCACAGCCCAGCTGACATCTTCCTCCAGACAGACTGAATGAATTAAAGGAGATACAATGAGACACTTGATGTAGCAGTCAAGGAGCCCCACTGCTTCTGTGCCGCTCTACACCGCTCTGCCCTCAAGCCCAGGCTCAGAGGAGAGCACATCTAGGGCAAAGCAGAGGATCTAAAAATACACAATATGCTACTGTTTACCGAGATGACTTGTCATCTTCCCCCAACACTGAACCCCTCCCTTCCACCTCCCCTCCCCTCGTGTCTCTGCTGATCTGTCTATAACCTCTTTGGCTCCTCGTATGCTATATTCCCTCCCACGCACCACACACACTATTGATTGACAGGGCTGAAGAAATGAAATATAGAGGAAGAGAGTGGAGAAGGTTAGATCTGTACTTTGGTTCATTTTCATTTCTTTTGATTGGACAGCAATGGATCACACTTGAGCCAAACTTTTTTTAATATCAAACGTTTCTGGACACTTAGTTGATCATATTTGATAAGGATTACATGGACCAGATGTTTCATCATAGTCATCTCGCGTAATGAGTTTCTATATTTCTCTATAAGCTTTTAGGAAATATATGACTTCGGGATAAAATATGAAGTACAGGTCAAGCAATATTCGAATGTGGCATTAACATTTGTGAGTGCACCCAGGACGCATTGAGATCCAATCACCCAGCACATTCAGTGTTAGTCTGGGGCATATACAATATGCCTTCATTCTTTTAGCAGTGTACAAGAATGTGTCCTGGGCCACGTTGAAGGACCACCTACTCAGTCCTCTGACCTGCTGCCTCTTCATGATGAATTAAAATAGTTTTTAATTTCTCACTGTTTCCCAAACATTCATTTATTTGTGGCCGACAGCACAATCATCATATTGATTTTCTAAATATTTCTGACAGTTTAAAATAAAGTAAAACCTTATTTCATTGTAGACCTGTGCACGTTGATTCGATCGGCCCCTCCTTGTCCCACTCCCTCACTCTCTCCTCCTTTGTCACACACGCACAAACACAATGGAGCCGTCTGTCATAGTCGGACTTAAAAAAAAACAAGACATTTTGTCTTTGCTAACAGCAATTATGTATGTGTTTATTTGCATATGGAGCGGGGATGTGAGAGCTGATCACAATTGGTCACTCGGGACGATAGCGGAGGCGCATTCTAATGCCAGGTGTGAACTGTCATACTTAGAGCTGGCCACTTGTGAGCGCATCATCAAATGCAAGACGCATGTTGATCCCAGGTCTGAACAGATGCTCAGTTTGACGTCGCTGCAGAAGCTTATGGACCTCAATTAGGCATCAAGTATGTTCAGTGTCCCTGTGTAATTCAATTTTATTTTTATAGCAACGTTATCTCAAAGCACTTTACAGAGCAAGGTTGAGAGAAACCCAACAGTTCCCTAATTGAGCAAACACTTGGTGACAGTGGAGAGGAAACAGTCCAGAACCAGACTCAGGGTGTGCGGCCATCTGCCTCCACCAGGATGGGTTGAAAAGAGAGGAATGGGGGAGAGATTGACCAAGTACAGTTATATAACGGTTATATAGCTGTACTTTAAGCACTTTCAAATTGTTATAAATGTATAAGTTGTTATAATTACAATAATAATAGCAATACCCGTTGTTATGAATGGCACGCAGTAGAGCAATTTCTTCCTCCAAGGCCCAATAGTTCCTTAAATTCAGTCAAGCTGCACCAAATTTCACACAAATATCAGTGTGCATGCAAGAAATATTAATGGATCCACACTGAAATGTAATGGTTTCCTCCCTAATCCACACCCCATCCTTCCACCAAGTTTCATTGTAATCCGTGCAGCAGTTTTTGCGTCATCTTATTTATAGTCAACTAGCAAACATACAAACCAACAAACGAGCTGGGGGGTAACCTGCTTATTGTTAATCGCAGCAATCATAACAGAACCAATAAATAATACATATTTATTTATAAAACTATCTGTGTGTGTGTGATGTGGCCCTGGATTTTTTGCATGTGTGTAGGTGTGTGTGTTTTGATGTGGCTGAAGTGGGAGAGGTTTCACACATTTATCTATCCAGTCCCTCCCCTGTCAGGGCCTTGGGAGTCAGGGTCGCTGAGGGCAAAAATGCACAAGCGCGTTTGTGCTTTTCCGTGTGTGTTTTTGTGTTTGAAGGGTTCACAACACTACTCATCTTTGAGGAAGACCCCCCGCAATGCAATCACTGACCCACGCACACGAGCGCACAACCATACACACACTCAAACATGCACAACACTGTAATGGCTGTCGGGGGCCAGGGTGAAAGGAAAACAAGGGCAGATAAGGAATGATTCAGAAGGACGCCAGCTGCACATTCTAATCTCTTTACATTTTCTCTTTCTTCTATTGAACTTTTATCTTATCTGGGGAACGTCTTCTCCGAGCATTCCTTGTCACCCTCCCTCTTTCCCTCTCTCCCTTTTCCCTTGTTTTTGTACTAGCCTTACAAGCCAGAGCATACCGATCCACATTGCACGGTGATATGTTGTCTTCTGTCGACCAAGAGAAAGAAAACTCAAAGCAAAAGCTGTTTCGTAGTATTAGTAGTAACTGACATGGTTCATTAAAGTTACATTTGGTGTAACCAGGATGTCTTTGAAATAACTTACTAGGTAGAAAGAGGGGGCGCCACGCAGGCAGGGAGATGAAGACAGCAAAAAGTGGATAAAGAGGTCTTCTCTTCTTTCTGACAGTAGAGTTGTCAACCACAGGGGGGTTTGAGAGGACTAGGGGTGTTTGCAGGGGGTTATGGGTCAGCAATCTGGGCATACGCCCTCCCCCAGGGCACCAACTGATCCACCATGGTAGAAGGCCTCAGCTCTCCACCACAAACAAACGCCAAGCTGTCTGAGCAACATGTCACAGAGCTTTTAATTGCTTGTTGCTGTCTCTCTTTCTATTTCTCTCTCTCCGTCCCTCCCTCCCCCTCTCCACCCATCGCTCTCAGCCACACACACACGCTCATACACACACTGCTTTCTCGCTCATGGTCCCTCCCGTTCTGCTCCCCCACCTGTCCCCCTTTTCTTTGTCTCCCATGCCTCCTTCTCTTTCCTTTCTTGTCCGTTTCTTTTTTTCTTCTATCAATGTTACTTTGAGTTTCAATTAAACCTGCTTTGTTTCCATGAGGTACAGAAATGCTGCTCATCAGGAGGAGATAAAAGAAAAAAATCCTTCCTCCTGTTGTGTTTCCATCTTTGAGCATACATGTGTGTTTGTGGGAATTAAATTGGAGAATGCCACATATTAATTTCCCAATCACAAACCCTTCATATGCCCGGAGTCATCTATGTGGAAGTGTTTACAATCTTTTGTAGAAGCAACATTTAGCAATAATGAGAAATCTTTTGAGTTTTTAACTGGCAATCCCTGTTTTTTCCTTCAGCACTGTTGTAACTGGGTATCGAGTTCAGAGCCTCTGGACACGCCGCTGGATCCCATGCTGCCAGACTGCCCCCGAGTCTCTGCAGGTATCAAACAAACTGTGTATAAACACACTTCAACACTGACAACACGATTACTCAGTTTCTACTTCAGCATAACTGGTTGCTCTCAGTGTAAATACAATCGTATGATATAGTAATCCAAGCACAGTAGTTAGCACGGCCAAAGGTTTACAGTCAGAGAAGAAAAGTTGATCATGGCTGGTACTACCGTGGTCATTGATGTTGTCGTCAAATTAAATGAAATTAGTTTTTACTGCTGATTTACATGGTCACTCATATGCAAATATATATATTTAAATGTTCAAAAAACATTACTATATGTTCCTTAAATAAAACCTTAAGAAAATAGTGATTTCTCCCCTGGAAGACAAAGATGGGCAAAACAATTTTAGCACTATATCTCTGGTCATAGTTTAGAGCAAAATATATCAACTTCACAACAGGTTGTTGTTTCTACTGTAAAATGTGCAGAGCAGAAATGACAAATCACATGAGCACAAATAAATTCCACAGTGTTTGTTATAGCTCTGTGCTCTATGTGTTCATCAGTGGTGCACATCTGCAGATTATCAGGTTTCAGTCAGCGTGTTGTGTTGATGGTTTTCGTTCTTGTGCGCGTATGTGAGTGTGTACATGTATTTCTATGCTTGTGTGGACACATTTGTGTACATGCGCACATGTTTGTGGGTGTTGGGTAGATTGCAGTTCTTAGTAGGGCTGATTGAGAGGGATCATTGTCAGAGAGACTGAAGCGGCGGCAGATTATCTTGAAACACAAACACACACAGAAACAGAGGCTGTCTCTCACACACTACAGAAATGAGCCGCTTGATTTTGTTTCTATTTCTGTCTCTTTTTTTGTCTTGTGCCCTTTTCCTCTTTCTTTTTCATCATCTACTCTGTCTCGTATATTCATTAATCCTCTCCTGTGGTGTTTGGCTTCCTGTCCCTGTGCCCTCTCGCTGGTTGACTGGCCTTGATGATGTCACGGCCATCATGAGAATGTGTCCTTAATGTTGGATTAGAGATGAAAGCTGTAATCCTCGACATGACCGTTGATAAGAGATGATGATTGCAGTGTTGTTTGAAGAGTGACCCACATGCAGGCATGCTCACACAGGCACACACACAGAGACACAAATGGAATATCAAGCTTGGAAACAGGAAACAAAATATATGTTGCAGTTATTAAAGCATCCGTTTGTCTTGTTTACTTTCTTCTAACACCCTAACATGCCCAACTCTTTACCTGATGTCCTGCACTTTTTCAGATTTAAGCCCTTACTTCAAGGTCTCCTACTTTCCTGAAGCTTTAGTACTCTCCCTCACTTGTACGTCGCTTTCGATAAAAGCATCTGCCAAATAAGTAAATGTGCATGTGTTATGTTTAAGCATTGGTTTTTACATGTGTGCGCATAAGGTTCAGCAGATCCTGCTTTGAGATTTTATTCTGTTCAAAGCCCCTCATTGACATCAGGGGGAATCTGTAGGCCATCTTACACATGCTCCACGTGTTGGCGAAGACATCTCAAACACTGCTATCTCATCTCAGCTCACTGAAACACCATGTTCCACATGGAACTGTGTGGGTGGGTGGCCTTAACATCTACCAGTGAATCAGCTCTTTAAATGTCATCCAGCCTTCAATACAAAACCCATATTGTATTTCATGTTCAAATGTCAGTTTTTTTACTTTGATGTTTTATGTCTCTTCTCTGTGACTGCTGCCGATCGGGAAGCAGCAACCTTTGAGCCAAGATACCCAGGTCTACTTTTTGAAACTGCTGGCATGCCTGACATTGTCCTAACACAGACCTGTTTGACACAGCGTCCATCTGTATGTATGCACTATTGACTTGTGCTCTATTGACTTTTGCTACTTTAACTGAGCTGAAAAGATCTGAGTCTCTGGCCTGTTAACAGAGCTGCCAACTCAGCTTGTCTCTGGTCTTTTGGTGGCAGCTTCCGATGTCAAAGGTTGACTCGGTCGTCTTTGTGTCCTTGGCAGCCTGGCAGGTTCACAGGCAGCAGCAATTGTGGCGAGAGTCACAGCAGAGCAGCAGAGGTGATGAGGTTGAGGGAAGGTTGAGGGAAGCCTGTCAGGGCATCGAGGCCCAGCCCTTCAATCAACACACACACTGCCCCCAGCAGTCACCTCTTGTGCCGCCATGACTGCTGTTGTCTGCGTTGCTATGGTGGAGTATGTGAGTGTCTCTGTAGGTGGGGGTAATCAGGGTTGACCATAGGTCCCACAGCAGTAGAAAACAGGCCGGTGACTCCTTGTTGTCATGCATGTACATGCACATATGCAGACACACATCGCAGTGTGATCTGCTGCTCTTGTGTGGAGCCAGACAGAGCCGGGCCCGGGGCGATTCAGCTGCTGTGGAGAATGGCATGTGATCAGACACACATAGTAAGATGTCTTAAGGCTAAGAAAGTATTGGATGTGTGCTTAGACACGGGCACTGGGACTGGTCAGGCAGCATGATGGGAAAATGGGTTGAAGGACAAGTCTTGCCTTTGCTCTTTTTTTTGTGTCTCAGCATCTGTTCCTCTCCCATTCCTTACTCCGCTCTGCCTCCGACTTTTCCTATACGTGTGCCTCTCCCCTCCTTCGCTTGCATCCTGTCTCCCTGTGTGGTGCAGTGATGATATGATGATTATGTTCTCCATGCTGGTAGAGTCTTGGCAGAGGGAGGTAGGGAGAAGTGGATGCAGAGCTTGTCTGTTATACTTAATCATCTGTAAAGCAACGGCAGTGTACCAGCATGGTTCTCAGACTGAAAGGACCCAGAGAGAAGTAGTAGGGAGAGTAACATGTAGTGTGGGGGTTTACTAAACACTCCATTTCTTGTTGTAAATGTGATAAAACCTGGACCCATTCCCTTCGTATTTCACTGGCGAGCTTCCCTCTTTCTTTCCTTTTATTTATTTATTTATTTGTTAATCTTTCTTCTTTTCACTCAGTTCTTTATTGCCATCATGCATAAGGAATTTGTTCCCCCCAAAGAAGGTCATTGCTCTGGCGTTTGGCAGTGGCCTGGCACACGAGCAGAATTTTATCAGTTAGGAGCACACCAAACACAGGCTAAATATGCAGATAAACTGGAACCGATCTCCTGCTGGAAAATCTCCCTTTGTTTGTGTGTGTGTGTGTGTGCGTGTGTGCGTGCGTGCGTGCGTGCGTGTGTGTAGTAGCTTCAAGGCTGCCGGAGAAAAAAGTTAGTCAGTGGGGTGCTGGTTAAGTGGCAATACTGAGGCCTTCCTGAGATGTAATCATTCTAAAGCTACGCTGCTGTTTAGATGCCAAGATAAACAAAAGATCGCTGAAATACAATGACGACAAATAGATGAATGAAAAGAGAGAAAAAAAAATAAAAAATACTTGTAACGGCCTCCTCTTTTTTTGTTGTTCAGTTTATTGACTTTTTTCCAGTTGAGATTGATGATCAGTAAAGATGCTATTTCAAAGGTGGGAAAACTCCCTTTGCTAATAACTGACACACACATTCACATACACACACATATGTACACACGTAAGCGCACACACGTGCACACAACTGGGTGATTACTCATTGTCCAGGCTGATTATTAATTACAAAGGGAGAGCTCTCTGAAGGTAAACACTGATTAATGGCTAACAAAAGTAAGTTAATGTCTTACCTGTACTTTAATTACCAACCCTGCTCTGTTACAAGCATCCCAACACAAGGCTGTAATTAACCCTAATGGACTGCAGAAAGAGACTCACTTTCATTTTCTTTCACAACATAAAAACACCACTGTATGTTCTTTTGTGAAGTGCCCACTTTTCTCTTTCCTACTGAGTTTTCCGTAATTAAAAGCGGATTTAGTCGGAAGGACGTCTTGATTTTGGTATGTTGAATGAAAATAATTATCTAAAAAACTGGCGGAATAGTGTTAATGAAATGCCAATAACTCCTGCGCAGTGAGGTTACTCTGCCTTTCTCTTTCCCTAAGGCTCATAGTTCAGTGACGGCATGAGACAGGCTAACACAGCACACACACACAAACACACAGTCACATGGTTACTGTGAATTTACTCCTTTCTTCTGTAGATTTGACTCGACCGTTACCTTCACCTCTCTGATCCATGCTCTGCTGACCATGAAACACCTCTAGCTGTCTGCACCTCTTTACCAAACACACACACACACACACACACACACTGTTTGATTGATGTTTGTGTTACTTAACTCTTGAAGAGGAAACTCAGGCCCGGTCAAATTAACCTCACACCCTCCGACCACTGTTTTTTCAGCTTGGTAAAGTGGAAGTCCGCTGTCTCAATGGAAGATCACATGAGTCTGTCTGTCATGAGTCTCTCTGTGTGTGTGTGTGTGTGTGTGTGTGTCTGTGTGTGTGTGTGTGTGTGTGTGTGTGTGTGTGTGTGTGTGTGTGTGTGTGTTTTCACATAATGTGTCAGATTGTTTTCTTTGTCTGACTGGCACACGTTGTGCTAGTGTTGCAGGAAATAGACAGGTAAACTCTAGTGAACTGGACCCTAACCTTTGACCTTGATCCACTGATTTTCGATCAGGCTATTGTGTGGGTCACAGTGATGACACTATCACAGTGTTGTGGAAAATCCTGATGTCTGGGATTAGTTATTTGTAAGGAACTAGTAACGTTTTGACATGAGTAAACTATTTGATATATTTCCCTATTTTTCCTTCCTACTGAGTTTTGTGTTTCGAGACTCTAAAGGGACAAGTGTAGTTTCAGAAGCTTCATGTTCTGACAATACCAAGGGGACTAAACCTTCAGCCACTCAAAAAAAACAACAACAACAAAAACCTGGACTCTGGAAAAAAAAGAGGACTTGATTTTACAATAACCAGGATGAACTATATCACAGGGTCTCTGACCAGATGTATTTATTTATTTCATCTTTGGATGCATTATATGTAGACACTTGATAAAGGACAATTTTAGAATCAGTGCATAACTACATAGAAAATGAACAGATTAGATGGGCGTATATTACCATTACATGAGGT